ACGCCCCCACCCCCCCCCAGGGCGGGTGTGTGTGGAATTGTCGGGGACGTAAGCTCCAACCCCTCTTAAAATTGCCAAGGTTGAGAGACACTGCTACGTACATAGAAAAAGGCAGGTGGCATTTTTCCTTGCTATCTTATTCCCTGAGTCCCTTCCCAGCAAGTCAGCCCAGCTACTCAGACAAATTACATAGCCAAAGGCTCTTGTTATCTGTGCTATCCAGAGAAGGGGAGAATCGCTGTCTGTTCTTTCCCATTTATCCCTTTTGAACACTTAGCAGCAAAATGGCTATACCAATCTCCTACAGATTATACTGCAGATTAACCACTTCTATGAATATAAAATAAGAAATGAAATCTCAGTGTAAAATAGCAACTTGGACTTGAATTTAATATGTTCTTATGTTGTTGCTAGATGTATAAAAGAACAGGACAGGGTTTTAATTTGTAAATAAATTTTGGGACAACTCATGCCTTTCATAAGGTCTTTTCCTTTAATTCTACTCATCTACAACTAAAATAAGGAATATTAATTAATTAATTAATTAATTGCATTTATATCTCAATTTTCCTGCAAGGAGCTCAAGGTAGCCTAACTCTTTTTGTGTGTACTCTTTCACATTCTATGGAGGCCCATGAAGATCTCCCATGCAATTTTCCTGGCTGCCCAGTTCAGGAAAATAATAGTACAGGCTCTAATGAACAGGGACATACAGTAGCTGTCTTTCTGCAAGAATCAGAGTCATGGGAATAAAGGTCTTCACTTCTCTTCAAGATCACCGTTTAGAACAGAAAAACAGCAATATTGCCCACATCAATGTCTATGGAAGGACTATAGTTAAAACTTCTTTCTTTCAGTGATCCTTAATCACTTAATTGAGGAATAAGGGAAGGGGAACAAAAAGTGAAAGAGAACAAGAAATAAGCCTGTGAGAATTGGCCTGTCCTAGCCTCTCCCACCATTACGCCACTCACCACCAAGCCCATATGCCTGTGGAGCCACCAAAGAGTTCATTCCAAAGAGATCAGCCCTCCACTTACAAAGTTGGCTACTCCTGGTGTCCTTTTCCATCATTTCAGTCACCCAACTACCTGGAAAGATTTATCAGAGTAAGAGATAGTGAAGAGCCTAAGATCATCTAGTAAGTTTCTTTCCAACTGTTTACAAAATGTACATGGTATATTTCATGATGTCTATACTGTAAATGTAAATTGTTATGATATAATAAGAGTAGCAGCAATATGAATAATTCTATATTCTGAACTATACCAAAGTGAAACATATACCCCCCCCCCCCACTTCTACTTTCCCATCCCTTGGCTATGAATACTGGACTGTCACTTTGTTATAAAATGGGGAAAAAATTCACCTTGAAGGTACTGGACCTCATATGAGAAGGCTGAGATTGGGCATGGGGTGGGTGGTGGACTTGGAGCAATTTGGCCTTCAGATCCCAGTTGAGCACCCATGCTAACACCCTTCCCTCTCTTATAGGCTCATGGTCAGTGCTTCACAAGATGGGAAACTCATTGTGTGGGACACCTATACAACCAACAAGGTAGGAGATATATAAGCAAATAGATGCTATGTCCACAGTCTGTTAGCAACGCTAGGAATGAAAAGTAGCTGCTAGCGTTTTGTCTCTGAGCCTGTTTCCTACTAGTGAAGCCTTTCCTACTAGTGTTTTTCTCGAAGTCCTTGATCACTTCTGACCAAGAAGGTAATGGTGGATTTCTGTTCTATCCTTTAATCCCAGGTTCATGCCATCCCTCTCCGGTCTTCTTGGGTCATGACCTGTGCCTATGCCCCATCAGGGAATTATGTGGCTTGTGGAGGTCTTGACAACATGTGCTCCATCTATAACCTCAAGAGTCGTGAAGGGAATGTGAAAGTGAGCAGGGAGCTCTCAGCTCACACAGGTGATCTTTTGCTTTAGGTCTTGGTGAAGCCTTAGCTGCACTCCATAAAACAAACCCAGGCAAAATACAGAATATTGCATCAGGGATAGCTGAGCAACTTTACAGCTTCCATTTAAAACAAACATGTTGTTATTGTTCTCCTGGTGAGGAATAAAAAAGAATTTGAGGATCTACACATTCTTGCTCCAACTGTGAAAAGTTGTTTGCAAGCTTATGGATGCTGAACTAAAATCTCAGAAGCCAAAGAGATTGCTGCATAGGATATCTGATGGCTCCATGTAACCAGCAGAAGCAGGCTAAAAGATAGTTATTTAAGTACTACTGTAATATCAGAATTATGCAAAATGAAAAATACTCCTTTTCTTATGCAGCATAATTAATATGTGCTGCAACAGTTTGACCCTGTTAGACCTGAGGAAGTGGACAGGGTCCTCCGGGCTGTAAATGCCACCACCTGTCAATTAGATCCATGCCCCTCCTGGCTGGTTAGGGCAGCTCAGGAGGTGACATGTGGGTGGGTCCAGGTGATGGTGAATCCATCTTTGAGAGAGGGAGTGTTTCCAGGGGCCTTTAAAGGGGTGCTGGTGCCCCCCCTCCTCAAGAACCCATCACTGGTTCCCGCCGTACTGGACAAT